TCCATTTTTCAATATTCGCAACTTTCTGTATTGTTCACTTTATCCAATTAGCTAAAATCTCTTTCTATATTAGAAGATACAAATGTTTTTTTGCATTTCACCGTTCACGTTAGGAATAGGTATACATGAAATGTCGGTAGGTTTAGTGTTAAAAAAGGGGTTAACGTATCTAACTATTGCGATAAATCTTGAGATTGTTCGATCCGAGCATCGAGCCATGATCCGTTCCATTCCCTTCTCTCCTTCATCCGAAGAAAGGGAAGAAGAAAAAGACAAAAAGAAAAGAGGGAGAAAAAGAAAAAGAAAAATTGCGCCCGAAGAACATCTCGAAGATTGGAGAAGAGCAAACCGGTTAGATGTGAAAGAGTAGACGTGGAGTGGTGCGATCGAGGGAAGTGACAGAAAGGCAATTTGATCGATTGCCGCGATTTCAGAGCCTCTCTTGAGAATTTCTTCTTTGTTCCTATCGGAGAAGGGAATAAGAAGATGCGTTCGTCGAGAAAAGAAGGACGAACGAGTCGGATAAAGTGCAGAGAATCATTAGACGATTCTCTCTCTCTCTCTTATTCACTCCCCTCATTCATTCTCTCATTCATTATTTTCTTTCACTTTCTTTTTTTTATTTTTCACTCGTTCATTCATCCTCTCTCTTTCTGGAGAGAGTACCGTTATCGGAACAGGTCCGATATCGCTTGGACAGACGCGTGACGTCCGATAAATCTCGCAACGGATGTCATATCGATCTCTGCCGGAACCAATCGTGATTCGACCGAAACTTCTTTGACCGCTTTCTCGATCGTTATCGTCGCCCTTACAATTCCGTTTAAATCAAGATTCGAAACGTTGCGTTTTGAAAATCGGCGAATATTCCTTTCCAGAGAACGTTTCGTATCCAGGATTGGAAGCGTTTCACTAAATATTTAACCGTTTATTATCAAATTCTTCTCGAAACACGCGAAGAATTGCAAGATAAATTCGAGAAGATTCAGAAGAAAAGTTTGCAAATGTATAAACCGATCCACGAAAATAAGTTCGAATAAATACAAGACACGAGAGAAACCCCATAAATTCATATACGTTTTATTCAAAGTGCGCAACTATGGTATCACTGGTTCGAAAGGTTAGAGACCGATCGATTCGAGAGAAAAATCTTAGGGTGGATCGTAACGATAGAATTCGACGCCTGGACAATTAGGGAAGCGACAAATTACAAACGCGTGCAACTGTCTGTCCGTGTGATTCATTGTTCGAAAGGGGGGAAGGAAGGGGGATCGATGGTTGGTTCGATCGATCCTCGTAGGGGGGCGGTGGTGCGGTCTCGGAGGCGGCGGCGGCGTCTAATTGCTCCGAAGGGAATCGGGTCGTCGCCGCAGAACGCATCTAGGCCGCGATCTACGTAGCCAATTAACCGAGTCGCTGAGTCGCATCCCGTAGAAATGGCCGATTCAACGCGTCGAAATAAACGCGGCGATGCTTCAAACCGATCATTCTAATAACCGGCTCTCGGCTGATGCACCGTTTCAATCGGTCGGCTATCGTCGCCGCCTTTTCATCCACTTTCTTTTTTTTTTCTTCTTCACAGAAGAAGTTGTTCGAATTCGTTTCAGTTAATAACGATTGGAACTTTTTCTTTTTCTCCTGGAAGGTTGGAGGAAAATTATGCAGAACGTTTGTGCTTGGCACGTGTCTTGTGTTAATTGTCTTTTTCTTGGGAGAGAGTCGAAAGAGTTGAATCAAATTTAGGAAAATAAGGATTGAAACTTTTTATTTGGTGAAAGAAATTTTATTTATACCTTTTATAACGGAAGTTGTTCGAAATTTAAATCGCGTTTAATAAAGTAATAATTAATAATCTCTCGTCGGCAAGAAGTTATTGGAATATTAAATTTTAGGTTTAGGAAAATAACGATTGAGAAAAATTATTCGAATATTTATGCATGTCTTCGGTTGTGTTCTTTTTTTACTTGGGAGAGACGTTGGGTCAAATTTTTATCTAGTAAAATCCTCTTTTGTATCTTTTAATATTTACAAAAGAAGTTGTTCGAAAGTTGAATTACAATAAATTGTTACGATTAATTAAATTGGATTTAGGAAAATAATGAAAATTGCCCATCTTTTTCTTGCGTATAGAGAAGTTACGAAAATGTTGGTTACGTTTAGAATTGGAAGTTTTTATTTTTATTCGTGTATTCCTTTCTTCTCTTTGGTTATAAGTTATGCGAATAACAGATAGAAATTTTAAATTTAGAGTTTAAAACTTTAAAAAAATAATTGTCAGAACACATATTTTCATCTTTTTTCTCGTTAGTTACAGGATAAATTATTCGAATATTGATTTGGAAAAATAAGGTATCCACTGAGCAGTGGATATCCTTTTCTTGTTATATTCTTAGATGGTTAGAAGGGAAGTTATGCAAAACAGTTGAGTTGGGTAACGATTGAAAACTTTTCATTGTACATATTTTCATTAGGTAACCGTATACCTTTTTTTTCTTGGAAGTTTCCTTGAGGTTTAGAAAAGCAACAATTGAAACTTTTTATCGTACACTGGCCGCAACTGTGTTGCACCCTTTTTATTCTTGGAACTTATAAAAACGTTGAAACAGTTTTAAGAGTATTACAATTGGAACTTTTTATTGGACTATTATATACTTTTTTCTTCTCGATAACTAAACAAGAAGTTGGATATGGAATGTTAAATCAATTTTGGAAAAAATAACGATTGGAACTTTTATTATTATTATACATTTATCTACCATCTATCTATATAAAAATATTAGCACACTTTATCCAACCGTTGTAACTTCGTGAAAAATTCTCGTACAATAATCTTCGTTCTTTAAAGCTCGAACTCTCTATGTCTTTACCTCCTTAAATCCAATTCCCTTGAAAATTACTTTTATTCGAAACATTGAAAAAAATCATCACGAAGATCGAAAACACCTTTTTATAACAATCATCTTAAAAATGAAATTTAAAATTATTTTTTCACATATATATATATATAAAACATATAAATTATCCTCTTCTTCTTACGATTTAAAACGATTCTTTCCTCCTCCAAAATCGAATAAATAAATTTATCCAATTCTCTCGTTCCGTAACAAAATTCCGTAAATTCGAAATTATCCCTAACACTCCTCCCCTCGAACAACAATTATCGAATTCCATAAAATTCTAATCCCGATTCTCGAGCATTTCTTCATCCATCCCCCGCGAATCTTAATTCCCGCCACGTAACAACGTCTTTACGTGCCGATATTCTCATCCAGGGGCAATATACTTGGCGGAAAATCCCAACGGTTCCTCCGTGATCCACGAGGTTTTAAAGGGGAAATCCGGATGTTGTCGAGAGGGAAGGGTAAAACGGGTGGAAATTCGAAGGTGGCGCTCTCAGCGTGCAAATCCTTCGCATTTCGGATTTCTCCCCCTGGTTCATCCATATTAATGGCCCCTAATTATAAGCCGTGGATAGCTCATACTTCTACGCGCCTCTTAATTCCCTTCTTAGCCGTTGATAAACCGATATTCATTTTCGTGTTTCGTTTTCCTTTCGAGAAATCGTTTCGAACAAACTGCTCTTTTACGACGAACAATGAAAACGATCGAGTTTTAATAAAAATTCGTTCGTTAAGATTTGTTAAGAGGAGAAATTATCATTATTGGAGATTTTAGAGGTAAAGGTGACGAATGACGTTAAGGGAAATGAGATTTGAAAACGTGCAATTTTTTACATGGTTATTTTGCTCGAGGGTGAATTATTTTTAATTTTTATTTTTCTTTTTTTTTTTTTTTTTTTCAATTTGTAGCATTGGAAGTAGTCGATATATTAATGTTGACAAGTTTCGCCGTTTCAATTTTTGATGAATCGATTTTTGGTGTTAAAAAAAAAATTTGGGTTTAAAATCTAGTCGAGAGATTGATTCACAAAATTACGAATTAGCGTTAAAATATTTACTTCGGTTATTTCATTTTTTGTCCCTTTTTAATATTCACGAGAGACCGAATAAAAGAACAACGATAAAAAAAAAAAGTAACGCTACTTTTCATTTTCACGCAGAGAAGTGTATTCTCCGTGGAATAAAATGGAGAATAGAAAAAAAAAAAAAAAAAAAGGTCGTTATCTTCGTTAACCCCGGAATATCAGGATTGTTGGACGCGCCGTTTCTCGCGCCTCCCGATTCGTTGCCGTGGCTTCATTACGCCCCCGCGATTGCTCCGCTAATTAATTACGCCAACTTCGTGCAGAAATTCCGTGTGTCGAATCGCGAATGTAACAATCGTGCACCAGTGTCGATAAATAATAGGCGTAGGCGCGCGCTTGTTCGCCATTTCCACGAACCGATCAAACGCTATATCCGTGTTCATCGATTCCCGATGCCAATTCAGAATCGTGCGTTTGGTCGATCGTTTTTTCGCTACCCTCTATTTTCACGTATATATATTTATCCTTTATCCACAAAAATACGAACGATTTGAAACGACACTTGGAATTATTATTATTTTCTTAAATGTTTCAGGAATCGTTGAATCGGGAGATTAGAAATTTTTATAATTCTCCAAAAGTTACTCAAACCAACTTATTTTCTTACGTAATTTTCGTGGATCTTTTCGAGTGAAATATCTGATCAGATTTTATCGAAATGAAAAGATGTTTTCTAATAATTGGCCATCTATATTTGAAGATATAGGATGATGATGATTTTTTTTTTTACACATCCGACAGTGTATTTTTTCAAATTTTGCAGCAACAATTAGAGACGTAGAGAGTCTAATTCACTTTTTCAAACATCCTAATCCCGTACGTTTTAAATTTTCTATCAAATTATATTTCACAAGTATCCACAATTTAGGCTTGTCACTTAGAACTCCACGTTCTTGCAAGATTTGATCAACCAATTCAATCTTCTGACTGAAATACAAAAAAAAGGCATTAGAGATATTACTTCTTTCCATTAAAAATTGTCCGCACATGAGAACAAATTCAATTTCACCATCAAATTTAAGTAAATTCTTATACGTTAAGAGGATCGAACACGTTTCAATCTTTCTCTTCTTCCCTCTTGTCACAGTTTTTTCCTCTGCCCTGCCGGAAGAAACGAATTGTCCCACCGATTCCTGCTAAGTTTCATCTTTTTTTTTTTGTTTTTTGCTTCTCTCCCCTCCAACAATAATTTGCTTCGGCGAACGAAATCGCGAGATTTGAGGGCGCACAACCGTTAATCGAGAATATTTTATTATTTCCATTGTTTTTCCATTTTTCTTCTTTTTCTCTCTCGTCAATAATCTCGGGAATCTCGTCTATCAGCACGAGATTTAAACGCGTTTCAACCTCAGTCTTTCGAGATAGATCGAAATCGACCTCGAAACCGGTTCTGGATGCATTACGCAAAATCGTGGCTATTACTTTTTCCATTTTCCATTTGGATTGGCGTTAGAGCGATTTTTCTTGTTAAAGATAAATTTTTTAATTTTTGGTAGAAGAAGATTTGACGAAGATTTAGTTTGCGAGTTTCTTTTCTTAAAGATGAATAATTGGAAGTTGAAGGTGAAACGAGTGAATTTGACAATGATTTGGTATTGGATTCGATCTAGAGATTAATTGAACATGGAGGTTTTTATTAAATATAATATATATATAATTTTTGTTCATCATCGATAAGAAATATTTTAACTTTCGAATATTAAAATCCGAAGAAAAATTTATTTTCTACATTTGAATATGAATAACACTCCTTTTCGATATTATTCCATTATTGAATTTGCATGTTTCGTCTTAAAATATCAACGAATCATCAAAATAGAACCGAATTGTTTAATAATTCATAAAATCGAAGCTGTACGAAATAGGAAAATTATTAAAATTTTCTGTCACGTTTATATTACATTTATACAATCTTTTTAAATCGCTAGAAAGTAGGCAAGTATCTTTTAAAACTGTGCAAAATTTCTATTCGCAACGAGGCTGTACAATAAAATTCGACGCACGTTCAATCATATTTTTCAGGGTATTTTCGAGGGAAATTCGCGCGAACAGTAAGGAAATATTATCGTTCAGACATGATACATGCGCTGATATATTGAATAGTTTATGGAGACAAAATATGTCCCCGTAATAAAGCTTTTCCGTCGAGACGAGAAAAATTTTCGCATTCACACAGCCGAATGACTGATATCCCTCGTAAATCGATCCTGAGTGATATTCATGATTTTTCCACGCCGTCCCACGTTCCTTGTTACCCGTGGATAACCATGCATGGGCCCCAAGCTCCGCCATAGGGACGGTATTCAAGATTCATCCTTTTGCCAAGTTTCTTTCTCGACAAAGTGAAATATTTATTTCGGGGACGAGATAAATGATAACGGAGGAAATTAGTGAAAAGTTATGCGAAGTAAAAGATATATATATATATATATATATATTTGAAATGCAAGATAAATCGAAGAAACGAAGAAGAAGATCGTGAAAAGAATTGGCGGTAAAGAATTAATGTCGATTAATATCTCGAAATGAATAAAATGTTTGAATAGTGAAACGAAATATAAATAGTTTTTTGTGAAGAAGATAGAGAAAAAAATTTGAATAAAACGTTTGAAAGAAATTGGGGAAAATTATAAAAAATTGTTGGCGAGACAAAGAATTTGTTCGAACGAAAATAAAAACGATGGAATTTAATAATTAAATAATTGACATTTTGAAGTAAAGAACGATATTTTCTTTTTTTTTTTTTTTTTTTGTCACGAATTCTTTCAACGTGATTTTATTGCGCATACATTTTATCACTTAGCTGTTTTATTTTTCTACTATACTTGACTATTACATTTCCTCCATGAGAATACAAGGAGAATAAAAGGAGAAAAATCTCCATTCGAGATATACTTTTCAACAGTTTTCTTATCTTTATCGATACAACATTTCGAGACTTCTATTCGATTAAAGATATCGAGATAACAAAAACGAGATTACATCATTTTTCATATCCCAAATTCATTTCCCAAAATAAAACAAATTAATAAACAGCAACGAATAATAACGTTTCTCCACCTTGTCATAAAATAAGGGAAAAAGAAATGGTTGAAAGACAAATTCTCATAAATTACCAGACGAAATGATACTTTTATCGCATCTTGCCATCGATAATACGAAATAAGAAGAAAAAAAAAGGATTGACCAACCTTTCAATATTTCCTCCTCACCGATCTCACGTTACAAGATATCATCCCCATGGAAAATCACGGACGCGCAAAGAAGGAGAGAGAGAGAGAGAGAGAAAGACCACTTCTCTCCCTACAGAAACGACGAAAAACGCATTTGCATTCGGGTCTCTGTGTTTAAACTATCGCAGTGGCGCGTTTATATGGAAATTCCACGAGCGATGAGCCCCACAAAGGTCCCTGGGATCGAATTAAATATCACCGTTGCTCAAAGGTGGAGCTCGAATCGTTTACCGATGGTTAAATGAAAATATTCGTGGCGGAACGTGTGTATCTTCCCTTCGTCCTTTCCCATTCCAACTCGTGCCACTCGTTTCATTAAGATCGCCTTTTGCGCTTTTCGACCGCCTCTCCACTCCGCTCGTGTTGTCATGTCCACCGCGTGTACATCTTTTTGTTTCACGTTCACTTTCGAAACGTAAGAAATCTCGAAAATTTCAAGTATCAAGAGACAAGAATGTTATTTGGGGAAAATCTGATTCCGCAACGAGTTGGGATTAATTCTTCTTTTTACGGGAGAGAATGAGTCTCGAATCACGAGAAAAATATTCCATTCTCGTCAAAAGGAAATTCTCTTGGATAATACGACCAACCGTACGACTAATACATTTTTAAAAACGTTTATCGTCCTTCTCCGTGATATTCCTGGGACGAGATTGAAATCAACAAATCCGCCATTTCCATTTCCTGCCTTTTTCCACTTACCCTCTCACTAAACTTTTGTCTCCATTCTCCAACGAAATCGAACGACACCGTAATATAACAGAGATACGTTATTGGATCGATCCAATTTGTCTGAGGCAGAATCATCGTCACGATTCTCACCTACGAAATTGACGAAAATAATAAAATTATCGCGCAATTATCCATTTATACTTGATAACACACTCGATCAATGGAAAAAAGACATTGATACACACACATCATTCGAAACGCGTCTACAAATATTTTATTCAAACACCGCGAGAGAGACTCGTTACGTCCCTTTTCACGAATTCTCGAATGAAACCTTGTCTCATTCGTGTCAAAGGATCGTTTGAACAATCCACCTCCCCCCTGTCGAAGATCGTTAATATTTCACTCTTCCCCCTCCTCCCCTTCTTCTCTCCCTTCAGTCGCGACGAGGAACCTCGGCTCGTCGCAATATTTAATTTGCCCTTCCCTTCGTAAAGTTGGTCCCTGCTCGACGAAAATTTGCATGTGACGTGCCGCGTCTCAACGTCGGCCGGCCACGAAAATTCAAAGCTCGAAATTCCCCTCACGTATCGTTGCCCCGACCGAAACTTGCATTTTTCTCTTTCCTTCCTTCTCTCTCTCTCTTTCTTCCTTTTTAAAATCTTACGCGCGACCCCAAAGATTATCGCCACTCCTTTCGATCGTAAATTTTGTTAATTTCACGAGAATAATCTTACGAATGGCCTCTCTTTTCTTTCTTTCGTCGGTCAAAAGTTGGACAGATTGGTGGCGAAATATCGTTTCGACGGATTAAATTTTCGAAACTATTTTATAGCTGTAATTGTAGAGATTGTAGAGACGGCGAGGATAGGATCGTGTAAAAATTTACTCAATCAATTCCCCAAAAGAAAACATTCGTACGGATTTTTAAAAAAATCTTTCAAGCAATTCTTCGAACTCAAAAGTTCGGAGAAAACCTTTCCGTTCTCGCCATATTTTCCACGAATCCCCGAACAAGGCGGATCCAACTTTATTAATTTCCTCGCATTTCCAACACCGGTTTCCCCCTCAGACGAGTGTAACTCAACTTACACGGATCCACTTGTCTCTCGCCAACTTAATATTTTCCCCATTGTCGAGGATAGTTTCTGAGACGAAACCACCCGGCACGTCTCCCTCTCTCCTATTCTTCCACAGATACATCCTTGTTGCGCGATACCTCGGCCCAATTTACGACGGTTGGGCGAACAGGATCGGGAGAGGGTTGTGTTCGAGGAGGGTTTAGAACGCCTTGGTTGAACGGCCCGGTCTCGCATGCGTGCACCACGGAAACATCGTTTAAGCGGAAGCATCCGTTAAGCAGCAACTTAGCCGGCACGTCCTCGAGTTTTACCGCGCAACAAGCGCCATCTAATAAGCGCCGTGGTAGCAGAGAGAGGGAGCGACATTCTCCACCTTCGTTAAGTTTGGAATTGTTGAAGTTTGGGCGGAAGGATGGGCGGTTGAACGTTTCCAACGAGGTTAATGAAGGTCTGCGTTGAATCGTGCTTCGTTTCTTTTTCGGCAGATTTTTATCGATGATGATTATTATACTGGAGTGAATTATACGTTTGTCAATTATATAGAATTGTTGGAAAAGAGAATTTTAATGTAAGGAAATTTAAATCGTGTCTGATTTGTATGGATTCTTGGTAATTGTAGGAAAGAATTTAACGTGGTTATATTAATTGTAGAAGATATTTTATTTATATAAGCATTGAAAGGGAAGAAAGTGTAATATTATTCGGCAAGTGTTCTCGTATTCTTCATTTCAACGTGTATATGTACACGTTGCGCCGAGCGTATATAAAATTCGATCACGAGACAGCAACCGGTGACGCACGAGAATGTTTGTCACCGAATACATGGCGCGTAAGAAACAAAAGTGGAATGAAAGTTTTGATGGTAGTTTGTATCGAGAGAAAAATGTCCAGTGAAATTTCAACGTTGTTCTTGCAAGTTAAACAACGTTCTCTCTCTTTCGGATGTTTAAATTTATCGTTACGAGGAGACAGAGGATGCAACGAACTGCATCCCGTTTGGTGTTTCGAGTTCTTTTCGGAATATCAGATAAAGTATGACCGCATCGTAAGGTTCTTTATATTCCGTTGACGACGTTTACAGAGTGGCTCGCCAGTTTTAAGACCTCTTATCGTTGCCTCGAATTCAATAATAAACGGATGTATCGGAA